AATCTTGCACATGCTAGACCCTTGTTCTTTTTTTTTTGCATACGCTAGGCCCTTGTTCTTGCTATTTCGCGAATGCTAGGCCCTTGTTCTTGATTTTTTGCACACGCTAGGCCCTTGCGCTTGCTATTTTGCACTCGCTAGGCCCTTGTTCTTGCAATTCTGCACACGCTAGGCCCTTGTTCTTGCTATTTTGCACACGCTAGGCCCTTGTTCTTGCTATTTTGCACACGCTAGGCCCTTGTTATTTTTATTTTGCACACGCTAGGCCCTTGTTCTTGCTATTTTGCACACGCTATGCCCTTGTTCTTTTTATTTTGCACACGCTAGGCCCTTGTTCTTGCAATTTTGCACATACTAGACCCTTGTTCTTTTTATTTTGCACACGCTAGGCCCTTGCTCTTGCAATTTTGCACACGCTAGGCCCGTATTCTTTTTATTTTGCACACGCTAGGCCCTTGTTCTTATATTTTGCACATGCTAGGCCCTTGTTCTTGCTATTTTGCACACGCTATGCCCTTGTTCTTTTTATTTTGCACACGCTAGGCCCTTGTTCTTTCAATTTTGCACATGCTAGACCCTTGTTCTTTTTATTTTGCACACGCTAGGCCCTTGTTCTTGCTATTTCGCGAACGGTAGGCCCTTGTTCTTAATTTTTTGCACTCGCTAGGCCCTTGTTCTTGCAATTCTGCACACGCTAGGGCCTTGTTCTTGCAATTTTGCACACGCTAGGCCCTTGTTCTTGCTATTTTGCACACGCTAGGCCCTTGTTCTTTTTATTTTGCACACGCTAGGCCCTTGTTCTTGCTATTTTGCACACGCTATGCCCTTGTTCTTTTTATTTTGCACACGCTAGGCCCTTGCTCTTGCTATTTTGCACTCGCTAGGCCCTTGTTCTTGCAATTTTGCACACGCTAGGCCCTTGTTCTTGCAATTTTGCACATGCTAGGCCCTTGTTCTTGCTATTTTGCACACGCTAGGCCCTTGTTCTTTTTATTTTGCACACGCTAGGCCCTTGTTCTTGCTATTTTGCACTCGCTATGCCCTTGTTCTTTTTATTTTGCACACACTAGGCCCTTGTTCTTGCAAATTTGCACATGCTAGACCCTTGTTCTTTTCATTTTGCACACGCTAGGCCCTTGTTCTTGCAGCTTCGCGAACGCTAGGCCCTTGTTCTTGTTTTTTTGCACACGCTAGGCCCTTGCTCTTGCTATTTTGCACTCGCTAGGCCCTTGTTCTTGCAATTTTGCACACGCTAGGCCCTTGTTCTTGCAATTTTGCACACGCTAGGCCCTTGTTCTTTTTATTTTGCACACGCTAGGCCCTTGTTCTTTTTATTTTGCACACGCTATGCCCTTGTTCTTTTTATTTTGCACACGCTATGCCCTTGTCCTTTTTATTTTGCACATGCTAGGCCCTTGTTCTTGCAATTTTGCACATGCTAGGCCCTTGTTCTTTCTATTTTGCACACGCTAGGCCCTTGTTCTTGCTATTTCGCGAACGCTAGGCCCTTGTTCTTGATTTTTTGCACACGCTAGGCCCTTGCTCTTGCTATTTTGCACTCGCTAGGCCCTTGTTCTTGCAATTTTGCACACCTTAGGCCCTTGTTCTTGCAATTTTGCACACGCTAGGCCCTTGTTCTTGATTTTTTGCACACGCTAGGCCCTTGCTCTTGCTATTTTGCACTCGCTAGGCCCTTGTTCTTGCAATTTTGCACACGCTAGGCCCTTGTTCTTGCAATTTTGCACACGCTAGGCCCTTGTTCTTTTTATTTTGCACACGCTAGGCCCTAGTTCTTGCAATTTTGCACACGCTATGCCCTTGTTCTTTTTATTTTGCACACGCTAGGCCCTTGTTCTTGCAATCTTGCACATGCTAGACCCTTGTTCTTTTTATTTTGCACACGCTAGGCCCTTTTTCTTGCTATTTCGCGAACACAAGGCCCTTGTTCTTGTTTTTTTGCACACGCTAGGCTCTTGCTCTTGCTATTTTGCACTCGCTAGGCCCTTGTTCTTGCAATTTTGCACACGCTAGGCCCTTGTTCTTGCTATTTTGCACACGCTAGGCCCTTGTTCTTTTTATTTTGCACACGCTAGGCCCTTGTTCTTGCTATTTTGCACACGCTATGCCCTTGTTCTTTTTATTTTGCACACGCTAGGCCCTTGCTCTTGCTATTTTGCACTCGCTAGGCCCTTGTTCTTGTAATTTTGCACACGCTAGGCCCTTGTTCTTGCAATTTTGCACATGCTAGGCCCTTGTTCTTGCTATTTTGCACACGCTAGGCCCTTGTTCTTTTTATTTTGCACACGCTAGGCCCTTGTTCTTGCTATTTTGCACTCGCTATGCCCTTGTTCTTTTTATTTTGCACACACTAGGCCCTTGTTCTTGCAAATTTGCACATGCTAGACCCTTGTTCTTTTCATTTTGCACACGCTAGGCCCTTGTTCTTGCAGCTTCGCGAACGCTAGGCCCTTGTTCTTGTTTTTTTGCACACGCTAGGCCCTTGCTCTTGCTATTTTGCACTCGCTAGGCCCTTGTTCTTGCAATTTTGCACACGCTAGGCCCTTGTTCTTGCAATTTTGCACACGCTAGGCCCTTGTTCTTTTTATTTTGCACACGCTAGGCCCTTGTTCTTTTTATTTTGCACACGCTATGCCCTTGTTCTTTTTATTTTGCACACGCTATGCCCTTGTCCTTTTTATTTTGCACATGCTAGGCCCTTGTTCTTGCAATTTTGCACATGCTAGGCCCTTGTTCTTTCTATTTTGCACACGCTAGGCCCTTGTTCTTGCTATTTCGCGAACGCTAGGCCCTTGTTCTTGATTTTTTGCACACGCTAGGCCCTTGCTCTTGCTATTTTGCACTCGCTAGGCCCTTGTTCTTGCAATTTTGCACACCTTAGGCCCTTGTTCTTGCAATTTTGCACACGCTAGGCCCTTGTTCTTGATTTTTTGCACACGCTAGGCCCTTGCTCTTGCTATTTTGCACTCGCTAGGCCCTTGTTCTTGCAATTTTGCACACGCTAGGCCCTTGTTCTTGCAATTTTGCACACGCTAGGCCCTTGTTCTTTTTATTTTGCACACGCTAGGCCCTAGTTCTTGCAATTTTGCACACGCTATGCCCTTGTTCTTTTTATTTTGCACACGCTAGGCCCTTGTTCTTGCAATCTTGCACATGCTAGACCCTTGTTCTTTTTATTTTGCACACGCTAGGCCCTTTTTCTTGCTATTTCGCGAACACAAGGCCCTTGTTCTTGTTTTTTTGCACACGCTAGGCTCTTGCTCTTGCTATTTTGCACTCGCTAGGCCCTTGTTCTTGCAATTTTGCACTCGCTAGGCCCTTGTTCTTGCAATTTTGCACACGCTAGGCCCTTGTTCTTTTTATTTTGCACACGCTAGGCCCTTGTTCTTATATTTTGCACATGCTAGGCCCTTGTTCTTGCTATTTTGCACACGCTATGCCCTTGTTCTTTTTATTTTGCACACACTAGGCCCTTGCTCTTGCAATTTTGCACATGCTAGACCTTTGTTCTTTTTATTTTGCACATGCTAGGCCCTTGTTCTTGCTATTTCGCGAATGCTAGGCCCTTGTTCTTGATTTTTTGCACACGCTAGGCCCTTGCTCTTGCTATTTTGCACTCGCTAGGCCCTTGTTCTTGCAATTCTGCACACGCTAGGCCCTTGTTCTTGCTATTTTGCACACGCTAGGCCCTTGTTCTTGCTATTTCGCACACGCTAGGCCCTTATTCTTTATATTTTGCACACGCTAGGCCCTTGCTCTTGCAATTTTGCACACGCTAGGCCCTTGTTCTTTTTATTTGGCACACGCTAGGCCCTTGTTCTTATATTTTGCACATGCTAGGCCCTTGTTCTTGCTATTTTGCACACGCTATGCCCTTGTTCTTTTTATTTTGCACACGCTAGGCCCTTGTTCTTGCAATTTCGCACATGCTAGACCCTTGTTCTTTTTATTTTGCACACGCTAGGCCCTTGTTCTTGCTATTTCGCGAACGCTAGGCCCTTGTTCTTAATTTTTTGCACGCGCTAGGCCCTTGCTCTTGCTATTTTGCACTCGCTAGGCCCTTGTTCTTGCAATTCTGCACACGCTAGGCCCTTGTTCTTGCAATTTTGCACACGCTAGGCCCTTGTTCTTGCTATTTTGCACACGCTAGGCCCTTGTTCTTTTTATTTTGCACACGCTAGGCCCTTGTTCTTGCTATTTTGCACAAGCTATGTCCTTGTTCTTTTTATTTTGCACACGCTAGGCCCTTGTTCTTGCAATTTTGCACATGCTAGACCCTTGTTCTTTTTATTTTGCACACGCTAGGCCCTTGTTCTTGCTATTTCACGAACGCTAGGCCCTTGTTCTTGAGTTTTTTTACACGCTAGGCCCTTGCTTGCTATTTTGCACTCGCTAAGCCCTTGTTCTTGCAACTTTGCACATGCTAGGCCCTTTTTCTTGCAATTTTGCAAACGCTAGGCCTTTGTTCTTTTTATTTTGCACACGCTAGGCCCTTGTTCTTTTTATTTTGCACATGCTAGGCCCTTGTTCTTGCTATTTTGCACACGCTATGCCCTTGTTCTTTTTATTTTGCGCACGCTAGGCCCTTGTTCTTGCAATTTTGCACACGCTAGACCCTTGTTCTTTTCATTTTGCACACGCTAGTGTGAGAATAAGCGAACAGGAATGAATGAACTAGCAGTGAAATGAGTACAAGTAGGAAACCCTAGAATTGTGTACCCCCTATAGGCTAACCCACTGTAGCCTACACAAGCAGAACATATATAATGTTTGACACACCCCCATAGGCAAAGTGGGGGTGAACAAGGGGTCACAAGACCAGTCAAGCAAAGCAAAGCAAGCTCAGGGTGGATCACAAAGTCACCACACAGTCCGAGCACAAGAGCAGGGCCAGAGGCCAGTTCACATGCAGGAGTACAGACATATATATCAAACTAGACAAGCAAGAGCAGGTATATATATATGTCACAGTACAAGTGAAGTCAAGAGGAGAGCAAGTGAGGCAAGACAGGCACAAGACCCAGCTGGGTGCAAAAGAGCTGATGGTCACAAGGCGCGAGTGCCTTGGTGAACACTTTAGCAGTGTTGGCCTCAGAGGCCACGTACGCAAGTCGCAACTGACCACGCTGCTGCAGCTCACGAGCAAGGAAGTAGCGGAGAGCAATGTGCTTCGTTCTGTGCTCCAAGCGTTGCTCTCGACACAAGGCCAGCATGGCCTTGTTGTCTACGTACAGCACTGGAGGAGAACGAGGTGGCTCTCCAAGGTCAGTCTGCAGGTAGGTGAGCCAGCGAAGCTCCTGTGCAGCCATGGCCCCGGCGTAGATCTCAGCCTCACAACTGGAGCCGAGAACCGAAGACGAGCGAGTAGACCGCCACGAGACAGAGCCGGAACCAAGGCTGAAGGTGTAACCCTGTGACGACCGCTGCGTAGCCTGGTCGTCAGCCCAAGAAGCGTCCGCGTGGCCGGTAAGGACCACTGGACTCCGCCCTCCAAGCACTAGCCCCATGCCCGACGTACTGCACAGGTAGCGCAATACCCTCTTCGCTGCAGCCATGTGCTCTGGTCTGTGTCTCCCAGGAGCAACATAGCGTGCAAGAATGCTCAGAGGGTATGCAAGGTCAGGTCGTGTGCAGGTCATCAGGTACATGAGGCAGCCAACAAGCTCTGCATACGGACCACTCGACTCTACGGACTCATCCGAAGGCAGAGCTGAGAGTGAGTGGCGAGTAGGCAGAGGAGTGGCCTGAGGCGAGGAGTACGTGAAGCCAAAGCGCTGAAGGACCTGCTGCACCATGTGTGACTGAGTCAAGGTAATGGTGCGGCGTGCTCTGTCCCGAGTGATCTGCAAGCCAAGGTAGCTGCGCAGTTCACCCAGGTCTGTGCACGTGTGTCTCTTCAGCAGTTCGGACTTCACGTAGGCGAGTCCAGCAGTGTCCGCTGTGGCAAAGACCAAGTCGTCGACGTACACGAGGATGTAGAACGGCGGCAGTGAAGTGTCGGTGCGCAGAAACAGCGACGGGTCAGCAGTAGAAGGAGCAAACCCAAGAGCCGCAAGCGTAGTCCTCAGTGTGTCGTGCCACTCACGCGGTGCCTGGCGGAGACCGTAGACTGGCCGTCGGAGGCTCCACTGGGTGCCAGGAGGGAAAGTCCCAGTGAAGCCAGGTGGACGGCGCAGCCAGATCTCCTCGTGCAGGCTACCCTGCAGGAACGCAGTGCTGAAGTCGAGAGAGTGAAGCTCGTAGTCGCGCTGAGCGGCTATGTGCAGCAGCACCCGAAGAGTGGTCATCTTCGGGGTGGGAGAGAAGGTCTGAAAGTAGTCAACTCCCTGCCGCTGACTGAAGCCACGAGCAACGTACCGTGCCTTGAAGACAGGTGGAGAGCCCGGCGGCCGCTTCACCCTGAAGATCCACATGCCACTGACGATGTTCGCCCCAGGAGGGGGAACCGCGTCAACGTAGGTGCCTGTGGACTTCCAGGAAGCCATCTCTGCATCCATAGCTGCCTGCCACTGAGAGGAGTAGGGACCCTCTACGGCCTCCGCGTAAGAACGCGGAGTCGGGATGTCTAGTGCATCCGGGTCTCCCTCAGGGGCAAGCAGTACAGACGCGAGATGAGGTGAAGCAGCCGCTAGACACTGTAACTCCTCCTGCCTGTCCTCTAGGACGTCCGTGCCAAGAGCACACTCACCCCCGACGGACGGAGGACAGACAGACGCAGACTCAGCAACAAGACTAGCAGCGTAGTCGAGACGACAGCGAGCAGCAAAGTCAACGAGCTCAGCGACGAGAGCAGACGCAGCAGTGGACTCAAAAGAGGGGTCAGTGACGACAGTAGCAAGCAGACGCGTGACAGTAGGACTGGCAGCGCGAAGAGAGTCCGACTCAGGGTCGGCAAGCGCAGGAAGAGAGGACTCAGGAGGAGAAGGGAAAGGGGCACGCAGAGGAGCAGTGGACGGACGCAGAGACATCCGGTGCGTGCCAGGGACAGGAGGAGGACGCTGACGCGAACCGCGACCACTAGCGCGAGCAGCACGAACCGGCGACGCGGGACGAGACGCAGGCTCACGACGCTCAGCAAGACCTCCAGTAGGACCAGTGTAAGGAGAGGGAGCAGGCAGAGGAGAGGAAGGCTCCAACAGTGACTGCGACTGGACAGGCTGTGGACACTCTACCGAGGAGAAAGACCAAGAACCTGCTGTAGGAGCGGAACGAAGTACGGCCGAGGCCGCGCGGCAGCTCCAGACTCAGTAGGGACAGCACCAGCACCCTCAGCGACAGCACCAGCGCCACCAACACCTCCAGCGGCAGGACCTCCAGCAGCACCAGCAGCAGAACCACCGCCAGGACAGACAGCAGTAGTCTCAGCACCAACACCCTCAGCAGCTCCAGCTCCAGTAGGACCCGCAGGCCCAGCAGCTCCGGGACCGGCAGCACCAGCACCCTCGACGGTCGACGAAGCTCCAGCTCCAGCAGCACTCCTCCAGCGGCGAGCAAACCACTCGCGCAGCTCCTGTGGAGAGAGGGGCTCCCGGCGAGACGCAGCAGCAGGAGAAACCCCAGGCTCAGCAGCTCCAGACTCAGCACCCCCAGGCACAGCAGCTCCAGACGTAGCACCCCCAGGCTCAGCAGCTCTAGACTCAGCACCTCCAGGCGCAGCAGCTCCAGACTCAGCACCCCCAGACTCAGTAGCTCCAGCTCCAGTAGGACTCGCAGGCCCAGCAGCTCCGGGACCGGCAGCACCCTCAGCAGGCGAAGAAGCTCCAGCTCCAGCAGCACGCCTCCAGCGGCGAGCAAACCACTCGCGCAGCTCCTGTGGAGAGAGCGGCTCCCGCCGAGACGGAAGAACTGGAGAGCCCCCAGGTCCAGCAGGCGCAGGCTCCGCACCTCCAGGCCCAGCACCCCCAGGCTCAGCAGCTCCTGACGTAGCACCCTCCGGCTCAGCACCCCCCGGCTCAGCACCCCCAGACTCAGCACCCCCCGGCCTCGCACCCCCAGGCTCAGCACCCCCAGGCTCAGCACCCGCAGCAGGACCAGACTCAGCAGCAACCTCGACTGGCTCGACCGTGTCTACCTGGGACACACCTGAAGGGGCACGAACCTGAGGGGGGAGGGGGTCTACCGGGGGGGGGAACTGGTACCAGGAAGTCCGGTGGGGGGGGGAGGGAAGGAGTACGGTAGGGGAAGAGGTGGTAGAAGGGGACTGACTCGTCGAACGTGACGTCCTGGGAGGACAGAACACGACGAGAGGAGGGGTGGTAGAACTGCCACCCTGGAGCGTCAGGGGGGAAGCCAAGGAAGACACAGGGAGCAGCACGGGGGGACAGCTTGTCCGCAGACAAGTCGCGGACAAACGCCCGAGATCCCCAGACACGGAACGCAGACGCATCGCCGACCTTCCCCGTCCACAGTAACACTGGGGACATCGCGGGCCGAGAGACCCTGGGGTGAAGGTTGAGCTGATGCGCCGCGTACCGAACCGCAAACGGCCACAGAAAATGGGGGGCAGCCGCATGCATCATGGACGTACGAGCGACATCCATGACCATGCCAATGCGGCGCTCAGCAATCCCATTTTGCTGTGGAGAGTCCGGAAGCGTAAAGGTCTGGCGGATCCCCTGTGCACGACAGTAGTCTCGCAGAAGGCGAGAGGAGAACTCCCCACCTCGGTCAGAGTGCAGACGCAGAACAGGAAAGTCCGAGCCGAAGCTCCTCCTGAGCTGGAGACGAGCCTCGCGGATCCAGTCGATCAGCACCTCAGTGACAGCACCCTTCCTGCGCAAGGGGAAGACTGAGGTGTAACGCGAGTAGTCGTCAACCACCAACAGGAAGTAGCGCTCGTGACCCTGCCCACGGACGGGGGCCGGGCCCCACATGTCCGTGTGAAGCGTCTGCAGAGGAGCCTCTGTCGGGGGAAACTGGGAGGAGTGAGGAGCAGCCCTGAGGCGCCTCTCGACACAGGGGACACAGGAAGGTCCTGGTCCCGAAGGAAGGGGAGGGAGAGACTGGGGAAGACCAGAGACAAGGACATGGGAAGCCATGCCCCGAAGACGGGGCAAGGAGGGGTGGCCTAGACGGTGGTGCCACAGAAGAGTCTCGTGAGACAGGAGGCGACACAAACAGAGGGCAGACTCAGGACCAGACCTGGACGCAGCAGCAAACACCTGACCCGACGCTGCTACCTGACCGGACGCGGGGACAGGAGGAGACTCAGTGGTCAGGGTGTAGAGGCTCGACCCCGGCCGACGCGAGAACGTGGCCAGGTGCCGGCCTGTGCGTGCGTCCGTGCAGTGGGTCACCCGCTGACTCGCAGGAGTGAACTGGTGAACCCCCGCATCCTGTAGGTCTGCACCACTCACCAAGTTCGTTGAGAACGAGGGGAGGTACAGGCCAGACAGGGTGCCCGAAGGGGCAGCCGGACACGGGAGGACAGTGGAGAAGTGAGCGAGGACAGGACCCCCAGAGGGGTCAGCCAGGGAGACAGCAACCGGCCGACCAAGCGGCGTGAGTGTGGTGCGGTCCCGAAAGAAGGAGCGAGAAGCCCCAGAGTCAGGTGTAAAGGTGAGGGAGGCCGAAGCCAACGCGGTACCTGAGAGCGCAGCCTCACCCGCACCTGAGGAAGCAGACTCACTAGCACCTAGAGCAGCAGCCGCACCTGTACCTGGAGCAGGAGACTCACTAGCACCCAGAGCAGCAGCCTCACCAGTAGCTATAGCAGCAGGTCCTATACCTGGGTCAGGCGGGACGCACAGGTGACCGGCACGGTCAGCACTAGTAGGCAATGCATACATGGCAGTGAGAATAGCATCATAGTCAAGAGCATATATATCTACCCTCTGCCTAAGCAACTCCACCCAGTCGGGGAGCTCAGCCTCGTCGCCAAACACGGTACGCCAGGCGTCGCTCAGACGGGCGAAGCAGCGGGACTGTGTATGACTACGTGTCCCACAAGGCTGACCAGTCCGAGTACCAGTGCGAATCACGTAAGAGCAGCGAACAGCACTGAGAGACCCTCCACTCTGAGCGTACCACTCACGAAGCTGGCGAGGCGTGAGAGACACGCGAGAGGGTCGCGGGAGCTGCATCTGGCCGCCACCACGAGTAGAAGCAGCAGGAGTGGAAGTAGGAGTAGCGTCGCCACCCCTACAGCCCCAACCAGCGTACCACTCACGCAGCTGCTGGGGCGTGAGGGACTCACGCAGGCGTCGCTGGGGCTGCATCTGGCTCCGCAAGTAGAAGCAGGAGCAGGACTAGCAGTAGGAAGGCAGGCAGCCAGGCAAGCCAAAAGGCAGGCAGGCAGGCAAGCAGGCGACGTGAGCGTGCTAGCAGGGCAAGAGCTCACCAGTGGTGGGAAGAGTAGGCTCGGCGACTCAGCGGCTCGGCAGCTCGGCGGCTCGGCGGCTCGGGCGACTCGGGCGGCTCGGCGGCAAGGCGGCTCGGCAGCAACTGCAGCTCAGCAGCTCGGTGACTCGGCGGCTCGGCGGCAGGGCGGCTCGGCAGCAACTGCAGCTCAGCAGCTCAGCGACCCGGCGGCTCGCCAGCAGGGCGGCTCGGCTGCTGGGCGGCTCGGGTGCAGGGCGGCTCGGCGGTGGGGCGGCTCGGCTGGTGCAGGTGAGCGATGAAGGAGGAGGAGAAGCAGGGGAGGCCACACACCTGCCACCCGTCTACTGGCCTCTCAGGTCGCCTCGACAGGCGACGGGAAAAGGGGGGGTGGGTGGTGGGGGCCGGTAGGTGCAGCGGCGGGGCCAGCAGGTGCAGTTGCGGGGCCGGTAGAAGGGGACGGCAGGAGCCGTCAGGAGGGGACGGCGGGGCCGTCAGGAAGGGACGGCGGGGCCGTCACGAAGGGACGGCGGGGCCGTCAGGAGGCGACCGGGCCGCGACGGGGGCAGGCGGCGGGGTCGCGTAAGGGCCTGGGCGGGGCCGCGACAGAGCCATCGGCGGGGCCGCGTGAAAGCCGGGGCGGGGCCGCGTAGAAGCCGGGGCGGGGCCGCGCGAGAGCAGGCGGCGGGGCCGCGAAGGAGCCGGGGCGGGGCCGCGTGAGAGCAGGCGGCGGGGCCGCGTAAGGGCCTGGGCGGGGCCGCGACAAAGCCGTCGGCGGGGCCGCGTGAAAGCCGGGGCGGGGCCGCGTAGAAGCCGGGGCGGGGCCGCGCGAGAGCAGGCGGCGGGGCCGCGAAGGAGCCGGGGCGGGGCCGCGTGAGAGCAGGCGGCGCGGCCGCGTAAGGGCCTGGGCGGGGCCGCGACAAAGCCGTCGGCGGGGCCGCGTGAAAGCCGGGGCGGGGCCGCGTAGAAGCCGGGGCGGGGCCGCGCGAGAGCAGGCGGCGGGGCCGCGAAGGAGCCGGGGCGGGGCCGCGTGAGAGCAGGCGGCGGGGCCGCGTAAAGGCCGGGGCGGGGCCGCGACAGAGCCTGCTGCGGGGCCGCGTGAGAGCCGGCGACGAGGCCGTGTAAGGGCCGGTGGCGGGGCCCCGTCAGAGAGGGCGGCGGGGCCGCGTCAGTGAAAGCGGCGGGGCCACAAGGAAAATGACGACCCGAGGGGTCGCTAAAAAAAAATCGCGCCTCGGGGGGCGCTTCGGTGGGCCCAAAAAAAACGGTCCGTAGAAGGACCCGCTCTATACCATGTGAGAATAAGCGAACAGGAATGAATGAACTAGCAGTGAAATGAGTACAAGTAGGAAACCCTAGAATTGTGTACCCCCTATAGGCTAACCCACTGTAGCCTACACAAGCAGAACATATATAATGTTTGACAGCTAGGCCCTTGTTCTTGCAATTTCGCGAACGCTAGGCCCCTGTTCTTGATTTTTTGCATACGCTAGGCCCTTGCTCTTGCTATTTTGCACTAGCTAGGCCCTTGTTCTTGCAATATTGCACACGCTAGGCCCTTGTTCTTGCAATTTTGCACACGCTAGGCCCTTGTTCTTTTTATTTTGCACACGCTAGGCCCTTGTTCTTTTTATTTTGCACACGCTATGCCCTTGGTGCATCGGCCAGTCTGGCCGGCATTTCGCACTCATAGTGCAGGTGGGGCCAGGGAGAACGGAAACGCTCGTTTCTCAAAAAGTAGAGGGAATCTAACGGTCTCACTCGATCAGAAGGTGGGAAATATATAAATCTAGACACCTAAAAAGGTTCGAAATGTATTCAGCGCATATGTATAGAGAAAATGGTGCATTGGCCAGGTCGGTCAGTATCGGAACTTAAAATGCAAATGCCAGGGAGAACGGAAGCACTCAGATCTCGCATAGTACACGGAATCAAGTGGTGTCACTCAAAACAAAAGTAGGAAATATATTCATCTAGTGAACGTAAGGGTTTGAAAGGTAACTAACGCACATGTGTAGAGAAAATGGTGCATCGGCCAGTCTGGCCGGCATTTCGCACTCATAGTGCAGGTGGGGCCAGGGAGAACGGAAACGCTCATTTCTCAAAAAGTAGAGGGAATCTAACCGTCTCACTCGATCAGAAGGTGGGAAATATATAAATCTAGCCAGCTAAAAAGGTTTGAAATGTATTCAACGCACATGTATAGAGAAAATGGTGCATTGGCCAGGTCGGTCAGTATCAGAACTTCAAATGCAAATGCCAGGGAGAACGGAAGCGCTCAGATCTCGCATAGTACACGGAATCAAGTGGTCTCACTCAAAAAGAAAGTAGGAAATATATTCATCTGGTGAACGTAAGGGTTTGAAAGGTAACTAACGCACATGTGTAGAGAAAATGGTGCATCGGCCAGTCTGGCCGGCATTTCGCACTTATAGTGCAAGTAGGGCCAAGGAGAACGGAAACGCTCATTTCTCAAAAAGTAAAGGGAATCTAGCGGTCTCACTCGATCAGAAGGTGGGAAATATATAAATCTAGTGAGCTAATAAGGTTCGAAAGGAATCTAATGCATATGTATATGGAAAATGGTGCATTGGCCAGGTCGGTCAGTATGGGAACTTAGAGTGCAAATGCCAGGGAGAAAGGAAGCGCTCAGATCTCGCATAGTACACGGAATCTAGTGGTCTCACTCAAATAGAAGGAAGGAAATAAATTCATCTAGTGAACGTAAGGGTTTGAAAGGTAACTAATGCACATGTGTAGAGAAAATGGTGCATCGGCTAGTTTGGCCGGCATTTCGCACTTATAGTGCAAGTAGGGCCAAGGAGAACGGAAACGCTCATTTCTCAAAAAGTAAAGGGAATCTAGCGGTCTCACTCGATCAGAAGGTGGGAAATATATAAATCTAGTGAGCTAATAAGGTTCGAAAGGAATCTAATGCATATGTATATGGAAAATGGTGCATTGGCCAGGTCGGTCAGTATGGGAACTTAGAGTACAAATGCCAGGGAGAAAGGAAGCGCTCAGATCTCGCATAGTATGTCAGAGTATTATTGCTGATGCATGTTTGTAGGCTATAGTGGGGTAGCACATATGGGGTACAGCTTTCTAGGGTTGTATTTGTACCCAACTCTGACTTAGTCATTTCATTCCTGGTCATTTATTTCACATGGTATAGAGCGAGTTCCCTGTGGGAACGTTGCCTAGGGCCCACCGAAGCGCGCTCCGAGGCGCGCACCTTTTTTTTTTTAGCGACCCCTCGAGTCGCCCTTTCCCTCGTGGCCCCGCCGTCCCTCAGACGCGGCCCCGCCACCCCTTCTGATCGCGGCCCTGCCACCCGATCGCGGCCCCGCCGCCATGTCGCGGCCCCGCCGCCCGATCGCGGCCCCGCCGCCAGCTACGCAGCGGCCTCGCCACCTGCTCGACGCGGCCCTGCCGCCTGCTCTGACGCGGCCCTGCCGCCTACTCTAACGCGGCCCCGCCGCCCGCTACGACGCGGTCCCGCCGCCTTCTCTGACGCGGCCCCGCCGCCACCTCTTACGCGGCCCCGCTGCCTGATCTGACGCGGCCCCGCCGCCACCTCTGACGCGGCCCCGCCGCCTGATCTGACGCGGCCCCGCCGCCACCTCTGACGCGGCCCCGCCGCCTGCTCTGACGCGGCCTCGCCGCCCGCTACGACGCGGCCCAGCCGCCGACTACGACACGGCCCCGCCGCCCGCTACGCCGCCGGCCCCGCCGCCCGCTACGCCGCCGGCCCCGCCGCCCGCTACGCCGCCGGCCCCGCCGCCTGCTCAACCGCGGCTCCGCCGCCCTCTCTGCCGGCCCCGCCGCTCCACCAGCCGCGGCCCCGCCGTCCCCGCCGCTGCACCTGCCGGCCCTGCTACTTCGGCCCCGCTGCCCCTGATCTCGCGGCCCCGCCACCCTACCTGCAGCAGCCGAGCAGCCCACCTGCAGCAGCTGAGCAGCAGTGCAGCCGAGACGCCCTGCCGCCGAGCCGCCCGGGAGCCGAGCCGCCCTGCACCCGAGCCGCCCTGCCGCCGAGCCGCCCGGGAGCCGAGCCGCCCTGCACCAGAGCTGCCCTGCCGCCGAGCCGCCCGGGAGCCAAGCCGCCCTGCACCCGAGCCGCCCTGCCGCCGAGCCGCCCGGGAGCAGAGCCGCCCTGCACCAGAGCTGCCCTGCCGCCGAGCCGCCCGGGAGGCGAGCCGCCCAGCAGCCGAGCCGCCCTTTTGCAGAGTTGCCCGGCCTGCCCTGCCTGGTGAGCACAGTCCCACTGTCACTGCGTGCTCTTCCCCTACTGCTTGCACTGCTTCGCTGTCGTCGTCATGGCTACCCCTAGTGTCCTGGCTTTTGACGCTGAGGGTCGCGCCATTGACTTTGAGGTCTGGGTAGACGACCTGCAGTTGTTTTTACAGTGCGATAGGGCAGACGGCCTCTCTCTCTTTGACCTTACCTCTGGCGCCTCTCCTGCTCCTGCTGCTGATGCTGATCCCACTGTGCGCTCTTAGTGGGCCACCCGCGATGCTGCTGCACGTCTTGCTGTGCGTCGCCACCTCCCTACCTCTGAGCGCGCGCACTTTAGTCAGTACAAGAGTGCTCAGACCTTGTACGACGCTGTAGTTGCGCGCTACTCCTCCCCTTCCACTGCTGCACTGAGCCGTCTCATGCTTCCCTACCTCTTTCCTGACCTTTCTGCCTTTCCCACTGTCGCTGACCTCATTACGCACCTCCGCACTAGTGACACTCGCTACCGCGCCGCCCTTCCTGCTGAGTTCTGCGCTAAGAACCCCCCCCCCCCCCCATGTACATCACTCTCTACTACGTAGTCGCACGCCTCCCTGACTCCCTTCGCGTAGTCAGGGACCACTTTCTCGCAGTCTGTCCCACCACCCTCACCGTCGACGTCCTCGAGAAGGCCCTCCTCGCAGCGGAGAAGAGCATAGTCGCTGTAGGAGCTTCTCGTGGAGACCCTCGCACCCCCATCTTTGAGGGGTGCTCTCCTTCCCCCTTGCTGCCCTCTGTTGCCTCTGCTGCTGCTGCCGACCTGCTTGGTCTTGAGTCGGTCGGCGCGGCGTCTGCCCCTAGTGGGAGACGTCGCTCTGGCAAGGGCAAGGGGGGCAAGGGCGCGGGTGGAGCTGGAGGGGGCGGTTGCGGTGGCGGCGGAGGCGGCGGAGGGAGTGGGGGTGGCGGCGGGAGTAGTGGCGGGGGTGGTGGTGGCGGTGGCAGCAGCGGCGGAGGCGGCGGTGGTGGTGGCAGCGGTGGTGGTGGTGGCAGCGGCGGAGGTGGAGGCGGCGGAGGAGGCAGCGGAGGAGGCGGTGGTGGTGGAGGAGGTGGAGCTGTTCGGGGTGGTACCCAGCAGCGGAGCGGCGGTGGTGGTGGCCAGCGCTCGCAGCAGCAGCAGCAGCAGCGTTCGCGGGACATCCCTCCGCCTCAGCAGCTTCGTGAGTGGTACACTCAGCGTCAGAGGGGTGGGGGTACTGGTCCTTGCACCTACGTCCTTCGTTCCGGCGACCGCGCGGGTGAGCAGTGTGGGGGTGCCCACCCCACCCAGCGCTGCTTTGGCCGCCTGACGGACGCTTGGCGTCAGCAGTTCCCCGGGGCTAGTGAGATCCCTCGCTGGGATGAGCTTCTTAGGGCTGGTGTAGCGATCTTTGATCTTGATTTTGATGCTATCCTTGCTGCTTTGTATGCTGTGACTATTAGTGAGGAGACTGAGGGTTACCGGTGTTTCCAGCCCGACCCGGGCATTGGTACTGCTGCGCTAGGTGCTTGTGAGGCTGCTGCTCTAGGTGCCAGTGCGTCTGCGCTCTCAGGTACTGGTGAGACTGCGCCCTCAGGTACTGCGTCGCCCTCGTCCTCCCTTACTTTCACACTTGACTCTGGGGCTTCTCGCTCCTTCTTTCGAGACCGCACCACCCTTACGCCGCTTGGCCGGCCGGTTGCCTTCTCCCTGGCTGACCCCTCTGGGGGTCCTTTCCTCTCTCACTTCTCCACTGTCCTCCTGTGTCCGGCTGCCCCTTCGGGCACCCTGTCTGGTCTGTACCTTCCCTCGTTCTCTACGAACTTGGTGAGTGGCGCGGACCTGCAGAATGTGGGGGTTCACCAGTTCACTCCTGCGAGTCAGCGGGTGACCCACTGCACGGAGGCACGCACAGGCCGACACCTGGCCACGTTCTCGCGTCGGCCAGGGTCGAGTCTCTACACCCTGACTGTTGAGTCTCCTCCTGTCCCTGCGTCTGGTCAGGTGGCTGCGTCAGGTCAGGTGCTTGCTGCTGCGTCCCGGTCAGGTCCTGAGTCTGCCCCCTGTTCTTGTCGCCTCCTGTCTCACGAGACTCTCCTGTGGCACCACCGTCTTGGCCACCCCTCCTTGCCCCGTCTTCGGAGCATGGCTTCCCGTGTCCTTGTCTCTGGTCTTCCCCAGTCTCTCCCTCCCCTTCCCTCCGGGCCAGGACCTTCCTGTGTCCCCTGTGTCGAGGGTCGCCTCCGGGCTGCTCCTCACTCCTCCCAGTTCCCCCCGACCGAGGCTCCTCTGCAGACGCTTCACATGGACGTGTGGGGCCCAGCCGTGGGCAGGGTCACGAGCGCTACTTTCTGTTGGTGGTTGACGACTACTCGCGTTACACCACAGTCCTCCCCTTGCGCAGCAAGGGTGCTGTCACTGAGGTGCTGATCGACTGGATCCGCGAGGCTCGTCTCCAGCTCAGGAAGAGCTTCGGCTCGGACTTTCCTGTTCTGCGTCTGCACTCGGACAGAGGTGAAGAGTTCTCTTCTCGCGTCTTCTGCGAGACTACTGTCGTGCACGGGGGATCCGCCAGACCTTCACGCTTCCGGACTCTCCACAGCAAAATGGGATTGCTGAGCGCCGCATTGGCATGGTCATGGATGTCGCTCGTACGTCCATGATGCATGCGGCTGCCCCCCATTTTCTGTGGCCGTTTGCGGTGAGGTACGCGGCGCATCAGCTCAACCTTCACCCCAAGGTCTCTCGGCCCGCGATGTCCCCAGTCTTGCTGTGGACGGGGAAGGTTGGCGATGCGTCGACGTTCCGTGTCTGGGGATCTCGGGCGTTTGTCCGCGACTTGTCTGCGGACAAGCTGTCCCCTCGTGCTGCTCCCTGTGTCTTCCTTGGCTTCCCCACTGACGCTCCAGGGTGGCAGTTTTACCACCCCTCCTCTCGTCGTGTTCTGTCCTCCCAGGACGTCACGTTCGACGAGTCAGTCCCCTTCTACCGCCTCTTCCCCTACCGCACTCCTTCCCTCCCCCCTCCGCCGGACTTCCTTGTGCCGGTTCCCCCCCCGGTAGACCCCCTCCCCCCTCAGATTCCTGCCCCCTCAGGTGTGTCCCAGGTAGACGCAGTTGACCCGGTCGAGGTTACTGGTGACTCTGGTGCTGCTGCGGGTGCTGAGCCTGGGGGTGCTGACTCTGAGGGTGCTGTGCGCGGGGGTGCCGGGCCTGGAGGTGCTGCTACTGGGGGTGCTGAGCCTGGGGGTGCTGGGCCTGGGGATACTACTGCGGAGGGTGCTGCGCCAGGGGGTGCTGAGTCTGGAGCTGCTGAGCCTGGGGGTGCTGAGCCTGGGGTTTCTCCTGCTGCTGCGTCTCGACGGGAGCCCCTCTCTCCCCTGGAGCTGCGCGAGTGGTTTGCTCGCCGCTGGAGGCGTGCTGCTGGAGCTGGAGCTTCTTCGACCGTCAAGGGTGCTGGTGCTGCCGGTCACGGAGCTGCTGGGCCTGCGGGTCCTCCTGGAGCTGGAGCTGCTGAGGGTGTTGGTGCTGAGACCACTGCTGTCTGTCCTCTCGGTGGTTCTGCTGCTGAAACTGCTGGAGGTCCTGCCGCTGGAGGTGTTGGTGGCGCTAGTACTGTCGCTGAGGGTGCTGGTGCTGTCCCTGCTGAGTCTGGAGCTGCCGCGCGGCCTCGGCCGTACTTCGTTCCGCTCCTGCAGCAGGTTCTTGGTCTTTCTCCTCCGGTAGAGGGTCCACAGCCTGTCTAGTCGCAGTCACTCTTGGAGCCTTCCTCTCCTCTGCCTGCTCCCTCTCCTTACACTGGTCCTACTGGAGGTCTTACTGAGCGTCGTGAGCCTGCGTCTCGTCCCGCGTCGCCTGTTCGTGCTGCTCGCGCTAGTGGTCGCGGTTCGCGTCAGCGTCCTCCTCCTGTCCCTGGCACGCACCGGATGTCTCTGCGTCCGTCCACTGCTCCTCTGCGTGCCCCTTTGCCTTCTCCGCCTGAGTCCTCTCTTCCTGCGCTTGCCGAACCTGAGTCGGACTCTCTTCGTGCTGCCAGTCCTACTGTCCCGCGTCTGCTTGCTACTGTCGTCACTGACCCCTCGTTTGAGTCCACTGCTGCGTCTGCTCTTGTCGCTGAGCTCGTCGACTTTGCTGCTCGCTGTCGTCTAGACTACGCTGCTAGTCTTGTTGCTGAGTCTGCGTCTGTCTGTCCTCCGTCCGTCGGGGGTGAGTGTGCTCTTGGCACGGACGTCCTAGAGGACGGGCAGGAGGAGTTACAGTGTCTGGCTGCTGCTTCACCTCATCTCGCGTCTGTACTGCTTGCTCCTGAGGGAGACCCGGATGCACTAGACATCCCGACTCCGCGCTCTTACGCGGAGGCCGTAGAGGGTCCCTACTCCTCTCAGTGGCAGGCAGCTATGGATGCAGAGATGGCTTCCTGGAAGTCCACAGGCACCTACGTTGACGCAGTTCCCCCTCCTGGGGCGAACATCGTCAGTGGCATGTGGATCTTCCGGGTGAAGCGGCCGCCGGGCTCTCCACCTGTCTTCAAGGTGCGGTACGTTGCTCGTGGCTTAAGCCAGTGGCAGGGAGTTGACTACTTTCAGACCTTCTCTCCCACCCCGAAGATGACCACTCTTCGGGTGCTGCTGCACATAGCCGCTCAGCGCGACTACGAGCTTCACTCTCTCGACTTCAGCACTGCGTTCCTGCAGGGTAGCCTGCACGAGGAGATCTGGCTGCGCCGTCCACCTGGCTTCACTGGGACTTTCCCTCCTGGCACCCAGTGGAGCCTCCGACGGCCATTCTACGGTCTCCGCCAGGCACCGCGTGAGTGGCACGACACACTGAGGACTACGCTTGCGGCTCTTGGGTTTGCTCCTCCTACTGCTGACCCGTCGCTGTTTCTGCGCACCGACACTTCTCTGCCGCCGTTCTACATCCTCGTGTACGTCGACGACTTGGTCTTTGCCACAGCGGACACTGCTGGACTCGCCTACGTGAAGTCCGAGCTGCTGAAGAGACACACGTGCACAGACCTGGGTGAACTGCGCAGCTACCTTGGCTTGCAGATCACTCGGGACAGAGCACGCCGCACCATTACCTTGACTCAGTCACACATGGTGCAGCAGGTCCTTCAGCGCTTCGGCTTCACGTACTCCTCGCCTCAGGCCACTCCTCTGTCTACTCGTCACTCGCTCTCAGCTCTGCCTTCGGATGAGTCCGTAGAGTCGAGTGGCCCGTACCCAGAGCTTGTTGGCTGCCTCATGTACCTGATGACCTGCACACGACCTGACCTTGCATACCCTCTGAGCATTCTTGCACGCTATGTTGCTCCTGGGAGACACCGACCAGAGCACATGGCTGCAGCGAAGAGGGTGTTGCGCTACCTGTGCAGTACGTCGGGCATGGGGCTAGTGCTTGGAGGGCTGAGTCCAGTGGTCCTTACAGGGCACGCGGACGCTTCTTGGGCTGACGACCAGGCTACGCAGCGGTCGTCACAGGGTTACACCTTCAGTCTTGGTTCCGGCTCTGTCACGTGGCGGTCTACTTGCTCGTCTTCGGTTCTCAGCTCCAGTTGTGAGGCTGAGATCTACGCTCGGGCCATGGCTGCACAGGAGCTTCGCTGGCTCACCTACCTGCTGACTGACCTTGGAGAGCCGCCTCGTTCTCCTCCAGTGCTGTACGTAGACAACAAGGCCATGCTGGCCTTGTGTCGAGAGCAGCGCTTGGAGCACAGAACGAAGCACATTGCTCTCCGCTACTTCCTTGCTCGTGAGCTGCAGCAGCGTGGTCAGTTGCGACTTGCGTACGTGGCCTCTGAGGCCAACACTGCTGATGTGTTCACCAAGGCACTCGCGCCTTGTGACCATCAGTGCTTCTGCACCCAGCTGGGTCTTGTGCCTGTCTTGCCTTACTTGCTCTCTTCTTGACTTCACTTGTTCTGTGACATATATATACCTGCTCCTGCTTGTCTAGTTTTATATATATGTCTGTACTCCTGCATGTGAACTGGCCTCTGGCCCTGCTCTTGTGCTCGGACTGTGTGGTGACTTTGTGATCCACCCTGAGCTTCCTTTGCTTTGCTTTGGTTGACTGGTCTTGTGACCCCTTGTTCTCCCCCACTTTGCCTATGGGGGTGTGTCAGAGTATTATTGCTGATGCATGTTTGTAGGCTATAGAGGGGTAGCACATATGGGGTACAGCTTTCTAGGGTTGTATTTGTACCCAACTCTGACTTAGTCATTTCATTCCTGGTCATTTATTTCACATAGTACCCGGAATCTAGTGGTCTCACTCAAATAGAAGGTAGGAAATAAATTCATCTAGTGAACGTAAGGGTTTGAAAGGTAACTAACGCACATGTGTAGAGAAAATGGTGCATCGGCCAGTCTGGCCGGCATTTCGCACTTATAGTGCAAGTAGGGCCAAGGAGAACGGAAACGCTCATTTCTCAAAAAGTAAAGGGAATCTAGCGGTCTCACTCGATCAGAAGGTGGGAAATATATAAATCTAGTGAGCTAATAAGGTTCGAAAGGAATCTAATGCATATGTATATGGAAAATGGTGCATTGGCCAGGTCGGTCAGTATGGGAACTTAGAGTGCAAATGCCAGGGAGAACGGAAGTGCTCAGATCTCGCATAGTACACGGAATCTAGTGGTCTCACTCAAATAGAAGGTAGGAAATAAATTCATCTAGTGAACGTAAGGGTTTGAAAGGTAACTAACGCACATGTGTAGAGAAAATGGTGCATCGGCCAGTCTGGCCGGCATTTCGCACTTATAGTGCAAGTAGGGCCAAGGAGAACGGAAACACTCATTTCTCAAAAAGTAAAGGGAATCTAGCGGTCTCACTCGATCATAAGGTGGGAAATATATAAATCTAGTGAGCTAATAAGGTTCGAAAGGAATCTAATGCATATGTATATGGAAAATGGTGCATTGGCCAGGTCGGTCAGTATGGGAACTTAGAGTGCAAATGCCAGGGAGAACGGAAGCGCTCAGATCTCGCATAGTACACGGAATCTAGTGGTCTCACTCAAATAGAAGGTAGGAAATAAATTCATCTAGTGAACGTAAGGGTTTGAAAGGTAACTAACGCACATGTGTAGAGAAAATGGTGCGTCGGCCAGTCTGGCCGGCATTTCGCACTTATAGTGCAAGTAGGGCCAAGGAGAACGGAAACGCTCATTTCTCAAAAAGTAAAGGGAATCTAGCGGTCTCACTCGATCAGAAGGTGGGAAATATATAAATCTAGTGAGCTAATAAGGTTCGAAAGGAATCTAATGCATATGTATATGGAAAATGGTGCATTGGCCAGGTCGGTCAGTATCGGAACTTAGAGTGCAAATGCCAGGGAGAACGGAAGTGCTCAGATCTCGCATAGTACACGGAATCTAGTGGTCTCACTCAAATAGAAGGTAGGAAATAAATTCATCTAGTGAACGTAAGGGTTTGAAAGGTAACTAACGCACATGTGTAGAGAAAATGGTGCATCGGCCAGTCTGGCCGGCATTTCGCACTTATAGTGCAAGTAGGGCCAAGGAGAACGGAAACACTCATTTCTCAAAAAGTAAAGGGAATCTAGCGGTCTCACTCGATCATAAGGTGGGAAATATATAAATCTAGTGAGCTAATAAGGTTCGAAAGGAATCTAATGCATATGTATATGGAAAATGGTGCATTGGCCAGGTCGGTCAGTATGGGAACTTAGAGTGCAAATGCCAGGGAGAACGGAAGCGCTCAGATCTCGCATAGTACACGGAATCTAGTGGTCTCACTCAAATAGAAGGTAGGAAATAAATTCATCTAGTGAACGTAAGGGTTTGAAAGGTAACTAACGCACATGTGTAGAGAAAATGGTGCGTCGGCCAGTCTGGCCGGCATTTCGCACTTATAGTGCAAGTAGGGCCAAGGAGAACGGAAACGCTCATTTCTCAAAAAGTAAAGGGAATCTAGCGGTCTCACTCGATCAGAAGGTGGGAAATATATAAATCTAGTCAGCTTATAAGGTTCACAAGGAATCTAATGCATATGTATATGGAAACTGGTGCATTGGCCAGGTCGGTCAGTATGGCAACTTAGAGTGCAAATGCCTAGGAGAACGGAACCGCTCAGATCTCGCAGAGTACACGGAATCTAGTTGTCTCACTCAAATAGAAGGTAGGAAATGTATTCATCTAGTGAACGTAAGGGATTGAAAGGTAACTAACGCACATGTGTGGAGAAAATGGTGCATCGGCCAGTCTGGCCGGCATTTCGCACTTATAGTGCAAGTAGGGCCAAGGAGAACGGAAACGCTCATTTCTCAAAAAGTAAAGGGAATCTAGCGGTCTCACTCGATCAGAAGGTGGGAAATATATAAATCTAGTGAGCTAATAAGGTTCGAAAGGAATCTAATGCATATGTATATGGAAAATGGTGCATTGGCCAGGTCGGTCAGTATGGGAACTTAGAGTGCAAATGCCTGGGAGAACGGAACCGCTCAGATCTCGCATAATACACGGAATCTAGTGGTCTCACTCAAATATAAGGTATGAAATATATTCATCTAGTGAACATAAGGGTTTGAAAGGTAACTAATGCACATGTGTAGAGAAAATGGTGCATCGGCCAGTCTGGCCGGCATTTCGCACTCATAGTGCAGGTGGGGCCAGGTAAAACGGAAACGCTCGTTTCTCAAAAAGTAGAGGGAATCTAACGGTCTCACTCGATCAGAAGGTGGGAAATATATAAATCTAGTCAGCTAAAAAGGTTTGAAATGTATTCAACGCACATGTATAGAGAAAATGGTGCATTGGCCAGGTCGGTCAGTATCGGAACTTATAATGCAAATGCCAGGGAGAACGGAAGCGCTCAGATCTCGCATAGTACACGGAATCAAGTGGTCTCACTCAAATAGAAAGTAGGAAATATATTCATCTAGTGAACGTAAGGGTTTGAAAGGTAACTAACACACATGTGTAGAGAAAATTGTGCATCGGCCAGTCTGGCCGGCATTTCGCACTTATCGGCACCTAGGGCCAAGGAGAACGAAAACGCTCATTTCTCAAAAAGTAGAGGGAATCTAGTGGTCTCACTCGATCAGAAGGTGGGAAATATATAAATCTAGTGAGCTAATAAGGTTTGAAAGGAATCTAATGCATATGTATATGGAAAATGGTGCATTGGCCAGGTCGGTCAGTATGGGAACTTAGAGTGCAAATGCTAGGGAGAACAGAAGCGCTCAGATCTCGCATAGTACACGGAATCTAGTGGTCTCACTCAAATAGAAGGTAGGGAATAAATTCATCTAGTGAACGTAAGGGTTCGAAAGGTAACTAACGCACATGTGTAGAGAAAATGGTGCATCGGCCAGTCTGGCCGGCATTTCGCACTTATAGTGCAAGTAGGGCCAAGGAGAACGGAAACGCTAATTTCTCAAAAAGTAAAGGGAATCTAGCGGTCTCACTCGATTAGAAGGTGGGAAATATATAAATCTAGTGAGTTTATAAGGTTCGAAAGGAATCTAATGCATATGTATATGGAAAATGGTGCATTGGCCAGGTCGGTCAGTATGGGAACTTAGAGTGCAAATGCCTGGGAGAACAGAACCGCTCAGATCTCGCATAATACACGGAATCTAGTGGTCTCACTCAAATATAAGGTAGGAAATATATTCATCTAGTGAACGTAAGGGTTTGAAAGGTAACTAACGCACATGTGTAGAGAAAATTGTGCATCGGCCAGTCTGGCCGGCATTTCGCACTTATGGTGCAAGTAGGGCCAAGGAGAACGGAAACGCTCATTTCTTAGAAAGTAAAGGGAATCTAGCCGGATCACTCGATCAAAAGGTGGGAAATATATAAATCTAGTGAGCTAATAAGGTTCGGAAGGAATCTAATGTATATGTATATGGAAAGTGGTGCATTGGCCAGGTCGGTCAGTATGGGAACTTAGAGTGCAAATGCCAGGGAGAATGGAAGCGCTCAGATCTCGCATAGTACATAGAATCTAGTGGTCTCACTCAAATAGAAGGTAGGAAATAAATTCATCTAGTGAACGTAAGGGTTTGAAAGGTAACTAACGCACATGTGTAGAGAAAATGGTGCATCGGCCAGTCTGGCCGGCATTTCGCACTTATAGTGCAAGTAGGGCCAAGGAGAACGGAAACGCTCATTTCTCAAAAAGTAAAGGGAATCTAGCGGTCTCACTCGATCAAAAGGTGGGAAATATATAAATCTAGTGAGCTAATAAGGTTTGAAAGGAATCTAATGCATATGTATATGGAAAGTGGTGCATTGGCCAGGTCGGTCAGTATGGGAACTTCAGTGCAAATGCCTGGGAGAACAGAACCGCTCAGATCTCGCATAATACACGGAATCTAGTGGTCTCACTCAAATATAAGGTAGAAAATATATTCATCTAGTGAACGTAAGGGTTTGAAAGGTAACTAACGCACATGTGTAGAGAAAATTGTGCATCGGCCAGTCTGGCCGGCATTTCGCACTCAGAGTGCAAGTAGGGCCAAGGAGAACGGAAACGCTCATTTCTCAGAAAGTAAAGGGAATCTAGCGGGATCACTCGATCAAAAGGTGGGAAATATATAAATCTAGTGAGCTAATAAGGTTCAGAAGGAATCTAATGCATATGTATATGGAAAGTGGTGCATTGGCTTGGTCGGTCAGTATGGGAACTTAGAGTGCAAATGCCTGGGAGAACGGTACCGCTCAGATCTCGCATAATACACGGAATCTAGTGGTCTCACTCAAATATAAGGTAGGAAATATATTCATCTAGTGAACGTAAGGGTTGAAAGGTAACTAATGCACATGTGTAGAGAAAATGGTGCATCGGCCAGTCTGGCCGGCATTTCGCACTCATAGTGCAGGTGGGGACAGGGAGAACGGAAACGCTCGTTTCTCAAAAAGTAGAGGGAATCTAACCGTCTCACTCAATTAGAAGGTGGAAAATATATAAATCTAGTCAGCTAAAAAGGTTTGAAATGTATTCAACGCACATGTATATAGAAAATGGTGCATTGGCCAGGTCGGTCAGTATCGGAACTTAAAATGCAAATGCCAGGGAGAACGGAAGAGCTCAGATCTCGCATAGTACACGGAATCAAGTGGTCTCACCCAAATAGAAAGTAGGAAATATATTCATCTAGTGAACATAAGGGTTTGAAAGGTAACTATCTCACATGTGTAGAGAAAATTGTGCGTCGGCCAGTCTGGCCGGCATTTCGCACTGATAGTGCAACTAGGGCCAAGGAGAACGGAAACGCTTATTTCTCAAAAAGTAGAGGGAATCTAGCGGTCTCACTCGATCAGAAGGTGGGAAATATATAAATCTAGTGAGCTAAAAAGGTTTGAAAGGAATCTAATGCATATGTATATGGAAAATGGTGCATTGGCCAGGTCGGTCAGTATGGGAACTTCGAGTGCAAATGACATGGACGTGGTCGTGGACGTGGACGTGGACGTGGACATGGACGTGGACATGGACGTGGACGTGGACATGGACATGGACGTGGACATGGACGTGGACGTGGACGTGGACGTGGACGTGGACGTGGTCGTGGACGTGGTCGTGGACGTGGACGTGGACGTGGTCGTGGACGTGGTCGTGGACGTGGTCGTGGACGTGGTCGTGGACGTGGTCGTGGACGTGGTCGTGGACGTGGACGCGGTCGTGGACGCGGACCTGGACGTGGACGCGGTCGTGGACGCGGACGTGGACGCGGACCTGGACGCGGACGTGGACGTGGACGTGGACGCGGACGTGGACGCGGACGTGGACCGCGGACGTGGACGCGGACGTGGACGCGGACGTGGACGCGGACGTGGACGCGGACGTGGACGCGGACGTGGACGCGGACGTGGACGCGGACGTGGACGCGGACGTGGACGCGGACGTGGACGCGGACCGTGGACGTGGACGTGGACGTGGACGTGGACGTGCGTGGACGTGGACGTGGACGTGGACGTGGACGTGGACGTGGACGTGGACGTGGGCGTGGACGTGGACGTGGGCGTGGACGTGGGCGTGGACGTGGAGGACTTGGACGTGGACGTGGACGTGGACGTGGACGTGGACGTGGACGTGGACGTGGACGTGGACTGGACGTGGACTGGGACGTGGACGTGGACGTAGACGTGGACGTGGACGTGGACGTGGACGTGGACGTGGACATGGACGTGGACGTGGACATGGACGTGGACGTGGACGTGGACGTGGACGTGGACGTGGAGGACTTGGACGTGGACATGGACGTGGACGTGGACGTGGACGTGGACGTGGACGTGGACGTGGACGTGGACATGGACGTGGACGTGGACGTGGACGTGGACATGGACGTGGACATGGACGTGGACGTGGACGTGGACGTGGACGTGGACGTGGACATGGACGTGGACGTGGACGTGGACGTGGACATGGTCGTGGACGTGGACGTGGACGTGGACGTGGACGTGGACCTGGACGTGGACGTGGACATGGACATGGACGTGGACGTGGACGTGGACATGGACGTGGACGTGGACGTGAACAAGACGTGGACGTGAACATGGACGTGGACATGGACGTGGACGTGGACCTGGACATGGACGTGGACGTGGACGTGGACGTGGACGTGGAGAACTTGGACATGGACATGGACGTGAACGTGGACCTGGACGTGGACATGGACGTGGACGTGGACGTGGACGTGGACGTGGACGTGGACGTGGACGTGGAGGTGGACGTGGACGTGGAGGTGGACGTGGAGTGGACGTGGACGTGGACGTCGACGTGGTCGTGGACGTGGACGTGGACATGGACGTGGACGTGGACGTGGACGTGGACGTGGACGTGGACGTGGACGTGGACGTGGACATGGACGTGGACGTGGACGTGGACGTGGAAATGGACGTGGACGTGGACGTAGACGTGGACGTGGACATGGACGTAGACGTGGACGTGGACGTAGACGTGGACGTGGACGTGGACGTGGAGGACGTGGACGTGGACGTGGACGTGGACGTGGACGTGGAGAACTTGGACGTGGACATGGACGTGAACGTGGACGTGGACGTAGACGTGGAGGACTTGGACGTGGACATGGACGTGGACATGGAGTGGACGTGGATGGGACGTGGACGTTGACGTGGACGTGGACATGGACATGGACGTGGACGTGGACGTGACGTGGACGTGGACGTGGACGTGGACATGGACGTGGACGTGGACGTGGACATGGACGTGGACGTGGACGTGGACGTAGACATGGAGGTGGACGTGGACGTGGACGTGGACATGGACGTGGACATGGACGTGGACATGGACGTGGACATGGACGTGGACGTGGACGCTGACGTGGACGTGGACGTGGACATGGACGTGGACGTGGACGTGACGTGACGTGGACGTGGACGTGGACGTGGACGTGGACATGGACGTGGACGTGGACGTGGACGTGGACATGGAGGTGGACGTGGACGTGGACGTGGACATGGACGTGGACATGGACGTAGACGTGGACGTGGACATGGACGTGGACATGGACGTGGACGTTCACGTGGACGTGGACGTGGACGTGGAGTGGACGTGGAGTGGACGTGGACGTGGCCATGGACGTGGACGTGGACGTGGACGTGGACGTGGACGTAGACGTGGACGTGGACGTGGAGGACGTGGACGTGGACGTGGACGTGGAGAACTTGGACGTGGACATGGACGTGAAATGGACGTGGACGTGGATGTGGAGGACTTGGACGTGGACATGGACGTGGACGTGGACGTGGACATGGACGTGGACGTGGACGTGGACGTGGACGTGGACGTGGACGTGGACGTGGAGTGGACGTGGAGTGGACGTGGACGTGGACATGGACGTGGACGTGGACGTGGACGTGGACGTGGACGTGGACGTGGAGGACGTGGACGTGGACGTGGACGTGGAGAACTTGGACGTGGACGTGGAGGACGTGTACGTGGACGTGGACGTGGAGAACTTGGACGTGGACATGGACGTGAACGTGGACGTGGACGTGGACGTGGAGGACTTGGACGTGGACATGGACGTGGACGTGGACGTGGACATGGACGTGGACGTGGACGTGGACGTGGACGTGGACGTGGACATGGACGTGGACGTGGACGTGGACGTGGACGTGGACATGGACCTGGACATGGACGTGGACGTGGACGTGAACGTGAACATGGACGTGGACGTGGACATGGTCGTGGACGTGGACGTGGAGGTGGACATTGACGTGGACGTGAACAAGACGTGGACGTGAACATGGACGTGGACATGGACGTGGACGTGGACATGGACGTGGACGTGGACGTGGACGTGGACGTGGAGAACTTGGACGTGGACATGGACGTGAACGTGGACCTGGACGTGGACATGGACGTGGACGTGGACGTGGACGTGGACGTGGACATGGACGTGGAGGTGGACGTGGACGTGGAGGTGGACGTGGAGTGGACGTGGACGTGGACGTGGACGTGGACGTGGATGTGGACGTGGACGTGGACGTGGACGTGGACGTGGACCTGGACGAGGACGTGGACGTGGACGTGGACGTGGACGTAGACGTAGACGTGGACGTAGACGTGGACGTGGACGTGGACGTGGACGTGGACGTGGAGGACGTGGACGTGGACGTGGACGTGGACGTGGACGTGGACGTGGAGAACTTGGACGTGGACATGGACGTGAACGTGGACGTGGACGTGGACGTGGAGGACTTGGACGTGGACATGGACGTGGACGTGGAGTGGAGGTGGACGTGGACGTTGACGTGGACGTGGACGTGGACATGGACGTGGACGTGGACGTGACGTGGACGTGGACGTGGACGTGGACATGGACGTGGACGTGGACATGGACGTGGACATGGAGGTGGACGTGGACGTGGACGTGGACATGGACGTGGACGTGGACGTGGACGTGGACGTGGACATGGACGTGGACATGGACGTGGACGTTGACGTGGACGTGGACGTGGACGTGGACGTGGAGTGGACGTGGACGTGGACGTGGACATGGACGTGGACGTGGACGTGGACGTGGACGTGGACGTGGACGTGGAGGACGTGGACGTGGACGTGGACGTGGACGTGGAGGACGTGGACGTGGACGTGGACGTGGAGAACTTGGACGTGGACATGGAGGACTTGGACGTGGACATGGACGTGGACATGGACGTGGACATGGACGTGGACGTGGACGTGGACGTGGACGTGGACGTGGACATGGACGTGGACGTGGACGTGGACGTGGACGTGGACGTGGACGTGGACATGGACCTGGACATGGACGTGGACGTGGACGTGGACGTGGACATGGACGTGGACGTGGACATGGTCGTGGACGTGGACGTGGACGTGGACGTGGACATGGACGTGGACGTGAACAAGACGTGGACGTGAACATGGACGTGGACATGGACGTGGACGTGGACATGGACGTGGACGTGGACGTGGACGTGGACGTGGACGTGGAGAACTTGGACGTGGACATGGACGTGAACGTGGACCTGGACGTGGACATGGACGTGGACGTGGACGTGGACGTGGAGGTGGACGTGGACGTGGACGTGGACGTGGAGGTGGACGTGGAGTGGACGTGGAGGTGGACGTGGACGTGGACGTGGACGTGGACGTGGACGTGGACGTGGACATGGACGTGGACATGGACGTGGACGTGGACGTGGACATGGACGTGGACGTGGACGTGGACGTGGACGTGGAGGACGTGGACGTGGACGTGGACGTGGACGTGGAGAACTTGGACGTGGACATGGACGTGAACGTGGACGTGGACGTGGACGTGGAGGACTTGGACGTGGACATGGACGTGGACGTGGACGTGGACGTGGACGTGGACGTGGAGGACGTGGACGTGGACGTGGACGTGACGTGGACGTGGACGTGGACGTGGACATGGACGTGGACGTGGACGTGGACGTGGACGTGGAGGACGTGGACGTGGACGTGGACGTGGACGTGGACGTGGAGGACGTGGACGTGGAAAACTTGGACGTGGACATGGACGTGAACGTGGACGTGGACGTGGACGTGGAGGACTTGGACGTGGACATGGACGTGGACGTGGACGTGGACATTGACGTAGACGTGGACGTGGACGTGGTCGTGGACGTGGTCGTGGACGTGGACCTGGACGTGGACGTGGACGTGGACGTGGACGTGGACGCGGTCGTGGACGCGGACCTGGACGTGGACGCGGTCGTGGACGCGGACGTGGACGCGGACCTGGACGCGGACCTGGACGTGGACGTGGACGTGGACGTGGACGCGGACGTGGACGCGGACGTGGACGCGGACGTGGACGCGGACGTGGACGCGGACGTGGACGTGACTGGACGTGGACGTGGACGTGGACGTGGACGTGGAGTGGACGTGGAGTGGACGTGGACGTGGACATGGACGTGGACGTGGACGTGGACGTGGACGTGGACGTGGACGTGGACGTGGAGGACGTGGACGTGGACGTGGACGTGGAGAACTTGGACGTGGACGTGGAGGACGTGGACATGGACGTGGACGTGGAGAACTTGGACGTGGACATGGACGTGAACGTGGACGTGGACGTGGACGTGGAGGACTTGGACGTGGACATGGACGTGGACGTGGACGTGGACATGGACGTGGACGTGGACGTGGACGTGGACGTGGACGTGGACATGGACGTGGACGTGGACGTGGACGTGGACGTGGACATGGACCTGGACATGGACGTGGACGTGGACGTGAACGTGAACATGGACGTGGACGTGGACATGGTCGTGGACGTGGACGTGGAGGTGGACATTGACGTGGACGTGAACAAGACGTGGACGTGAACATGGACGTGGACATGGACGTGGACGTGGACATGGACGTGGACGTGGACGTGGACGTGGACGTGGACGTGGAGAACTTGGACGTGGACATGGACGTGAACGTGGACCTGGACGTGGACATGGACGTGGACGTGGACGTGGACGTGGACGTGGACATGGACGTGGAGGTGGACGTGGACGTGGAGGTGGACGTGGAGTGGACGTGGACGTGGACGTGGACGTGGACGTGGATGTGGACGTGGACGTGGACGTGGACGTGGACGTGGACCTGGACGTGGAAGTGGACGTGGACGTGGACGTGGACGTAGACGTAGACGTGGACGTAGACGTGGACGTGGACGTGGACGTGGACGTGGACGTGGAGGACGTGGACGTGGACGTGGACGTGGACGTGGACGTGGACGTGGAGAACTTGGACGTGGACATGGACGTGAACGTGGACGTGGACGTGGACGTGGAGGACTTGGACGTGGACATGGACGTGGACGTGGAGTGGAGGTGGACGTGGACGTTGACGTGGACGTGGACGTGGACATGGACGTGGACGTGGACGTGACGTGGACGTGGACGTGGACGTGGACATGGACGTGGACGTGGACGTGGACGTGGACGTGGACATGGAGGTGGACGTGGACGTGGACGTGGACATGGACGTGGACGTGGACGTGGACGTGGACGTGGACATGGACGTGGACATGGACGTGGACGTTGACGTGGACGTGGACGTGGACGTGGACGTGGAGTGGACGTGGACGTGGACGTGGACATGGACGTGGACGTGGACGTGGACGTGGACGTGGACGTGGACGTGGAGGACGTGGACGTGGACGTGGACGTGGACGTGGAGGACGTGGACGTGGACGTGGACGTGGAGAACTTGGACGTGGACATGGAGGACTTGGACGTGGACATGGACGTGGACATGGACGTGGACATGGACGTGGACGTGGACGTGGACGTGGACGTGGACGTGGACATGGACGTGGACGTGGACGTGGACGTGGACGTGGACGTGGACGTGGACATGGACCTGGACATGGACGTGGACGTGGACGTGGACGTGGACATGGACGTGGACGTGGACATGGTCGTGGACGTGGACGTGGACGTGGACGTGGACATGGACGTGGACGTGAACAAGACGTGGACGTGAACATGGACGTGGACATGGACGTGGACGTGGACATGGACGTGGACGTGGACGTGGACGTGGACGTGGACGTGGAGAACTTGGACGTGGACATGGACGTGAACGTGGACCTGGACGTGGACATGGACGTGGACGTGGACGTGGACGTGGACGTGGACGTGGAGGTGGACGTGGACGTGGAGGTGGACGTGGAGTGGACGTGGAGGTGGACGTGGACGTGGACGTGGACGTGGACGTGGACGTGGACGTGGACATGGACGTGGACATGGACGTGGACGTGGACGTGGACATGGACGTGGACGTGGACGTGGACGTGGACGTGGAGGACGTGGACGTGGACGTGGACGTGGACGTGGACGTGGAGAACTTGGACGTGGACATGGACGTGAACGTGGACGTGGACGTGGACGTGGAGGACTTGGACGTGGACATGGACGTGGACGTGGACGTGGACGTGGACGTGGACGTGGAGGACGTGGACGTGGACGTGGACGTGACGTGGACGTGGACGTGGACGTGGACATGGACGTGGACGTGGACGTGGACGTGGACGTGGAGGACGTGGACGTGGACGTGGACGTGGACGTGGACGTGGAGGACGTGGACGTGGAAAACTTGGACGTGGACATGGACGTGAACGTGGACGTGGACGTGGACGTGGAGGACTTGGACGTGGACATGGACGTGGACGTGGACGTGGACATTGACGTGGACGTGGACGTGGACGTGGTCGTGGACGTGGTCGTGGACGTGGACCTGGACGTGGACGTGGACGTGGACGTGGACGTGGACGCGGTCGTGGACGCGGACCTGGACGTGGACGCGGTCGTGGACGCGGACGTGGACGCGGACCTGGACGCGGACCTGGACGTGGACGTGGACGTGGACGTGGACGCGGACGTGGACGCGGACGTGGACGCGGACGTGGACGCGGACGTGGACGCGGACGTGGACGCGGACGTGGACGCGGACGTGGACGCGGACGTGGACGCGGACGTGGACGCGGACGTGCGTGGACGTGGACGTGGACGTGGACGTGGACGTGCGTGGACGTGGACGTGGACGTGGACGTGGACGTGGACGTGGACGTGGGCGTGGACGTGGACGTGGGCGTGGACGTGGGCGTGGACGTGGAGGACTTGGACGTGGACGTGGACGTGGACGTGGACGTGGACGTGGACGTGGACGTGGACTGGACGTGGACTGGGACGTGGACGTGGACGTAGACGTGGACGTGGACGTGGACGTGGACGTGGACGTGGACGTGGACGTGGACATGGACGTGGACGTGGACGTGGACGTGGACGTGGACGTGGACGTGGAGGACTTGGACGTGGACATGGACGTGGACGTGGACGGGGACGCGGACGTGGACGTGGACGTGGACATGGACGTGGACGTGGACGTGGACGTGGACATGGACGTGGACATGGACGTGGACGTGGACGTGGACGTGGACGTGGACGTGGACATGGACGTGGACGTGGACATGGTCGTGGACGTGGACGTGGACGTGGACGTGGACGTGGACCTGGACGTGGACGTGGACATGGACATGGACGTGGACGTGGACGTGGACATGGACGTGGACGTGGACGTGAACAAGACGTGGACGTGAACATGGACGTGGACATGGACGTGGACGTGGACCTGGACATGGACGTGGACGTGGACGTGGACGTGGACGTGGAGAACTTGGACATGGACATGGACGTGAACGTGGACCTGGACGTGGACATGGACGTGGACGTGGACGTGGACGTGGACGTGGAGGTGGACGTGGACGTGGAGGTGGACGTGGAGTGGACGTGGACTTGGACGTCGACGTGGTCGTGGACGTGGACGTGGACATGGACGTGGACGTGGACGTGGACGTGGACGTGGACGTGGACGTGGACGTGGACGTGGACATGGACGTGGACGTGGACGTGGACGTGGAAATGGACGTGGACGTGGACGTAGACGTGGACGTGGACATGGACGTGGACGTAGACGTGGACGTAGACGTGGACGTGGACATGGACGTGGACGTGGACATGGACGTCGAGGACGTGGACGTGGACGTGGACGTGGACGTGGACGTGGAGAACTTGGACGTGGACATGGACGTGAACGTGGACGTGGACGTAGACGTGGAGGACTTGGACGTGGACATGGACGTGGACATGGAGTGGACGTGGATGGGACGTGGACGTTGACGTGGACGTGGACGTGACGTGGACGTGGACGTGGACGTGGACATGGACGTGGACGTGGACGTGGACATGGACGTGGACGTGGACGTGGACGTAGACATGGAGGTGGACGTGGACGTGGACGTGGACATGGACGTGGACATGGACGTGGACATGGACGTGGACATGGACGTGGACGTGGACGCTGACGTGGACGTGGACATGGACGTGGACGTGGACGTGACGTGGACGTGGACGTGGACGTGGACGTGGACATGGACGTGGACGTGGACGTGGACGTGGACATGGAGGTGGACGTGGACGTGGACGTGGACATGGACGTGGACATGGACGTAGACGTGGACGTGGACATGGACGTGGACATGGACGTGGACGTTCACGTGGACGTGGACGTGGACGTGGAGTGGACGTGGAGTGGACGTGGACGTGGCCATGGACGTGGACGTGGACGTGGACGTGGACGTGGACGTGGACGTAGACGTGGACGTGGACGTGGAGGACGTGGACGTGGACGTGGACGTGGAGAACTTGGACGTGGACGTGGACGTGAACGTGGACGTGGACGTGGATGTGGAGGACTTGGACGTGGACATGGACGTGGACGTGGACGTGGACATGGACGTGGACGTGGACGTGGACGTGGACGTGGACGTGGACGTGGAGTGGACGTGGAGTGGACGTGGACGTGGACATGGACGTGGACGTGGACGTGGACGTGGACGTGGACGTGGAGGACGTGGACGTGGACGTGGAGAACTTGGACGTGGACGTGGAGGACGTGGACGTGGACGTGGACGTGGAGAACTTGGACGTGGACATGGACGTGAACGTGGACGTGGACGTGGACGTGGAGGACTTGGACGTGGACATGGACGTGGACGTGGACGTGGACATGGACGTGGACGTGGACGTGGACGTGGACGTGGACGTGGACATGGACGTGGACGTGGACGTGGACGTGGACGTGGACATGGACCTGGACATGGACGTGGACGTGGACGTGAACGTGAACATGGACGTGGACGTGGACATGGTCGTGGACGTGGACGTGGAGGTGGACATTGACGTGGACGTGAACAAGACGTGGACGTGAACATGGACGTGGACATGGACGTGGACGTGGACATGGACGTGGACGTGGACGTGGACGTGGACGTGGACGTGGAGAACTTGGACGTGGACATGGACGTGAACGTGGACCTGGACGTGGACATGGACGTGGACGTGGACGTGGACGTGGACGTGGACGTGGAGGTGGACGTGGACGTGGAGGTGGACGTGGAGTGGACGTGGACGTGGACGTGGACGTGGACGTGGATGTGGACGTGGACGTGGACGTGGACGTGGACGTGGACCTGGACGTGGACGTGGACGTGGACGTGGACGTGGACGTGGACGTAGACGTAGACGTGGACGTAGACGTGGACGTGGACGTGGACGTGGACGTGGACGTGGACGTGGAGGACGTGGACGTGGACGTGGACGTGGACGTGGACGTGGACGTGGAGAACTTGGACGTGGACATGGACGTGAACGTGGACGTGGACGTGGACGTGGAGGACTTGGACGTGGACATGGACGTGGACGTGGAGTGGAGGTGGACGTGGACGTTGACGTGGACGTGGACGTGGACATGGACGTGGACGTGGACGTGACGTGGACGTGGACGTGGACGTGGACATGGACGTGGACGTGGACGTGGACGTGGACGTGGACATGGAGGTGGACGTGGACGTGGACGTGGACATGGACGTGGACGTGGACGTGGACGTGGACATGGACGTGGACATGGACGTGGACGTTGACGTGGACGTGGACGTGGACGTGGACGTGGAGTGGACGTGGACGTGGACGTGGACATGGACGTGGACGTGGACGTGGACGTGGACGTGGACGTGGACGTGGAGGACGTGGACGTGGACGTGGACGTGGACGTGGAGGACGTGGACGTGGACGTGGACGTGGAGAACTTGGACGTGGACATGGAGGACTTGGACGTGGACATGGACGTGGACATGGACGTGGACATGGACGTGGACGTGGACGTGGACGTGGACGTGGACGTGGACATGGACGTGGACGTGGACGTGGACGTGGACGTGGACGTGGACGTGGACATGGACCTGGACATGGACGTGGACGTGGACGTGGACGTGGACATGGACGTGGACGTGGACATGGTCGTGGACGTGGACGTGGACGTGGACGTGGACATGGACGTGGACGTGAACAAGACGTGGACGTGAACATGGACGTGGACATGGACGTGGACGTGGACATGGACGTGGACGTGGACGTGGACGTGGACGTGGACGTGGAGAACTTGGACGTGGACATGGACGTGAACGTGGACCTGGACGTGGACATGGACGTGGACGTGGACGTGGACGTGGAGGTGGACGTGGACGTGGACGTGGACGTGGAGGTGGACGTGGAGTGGACGTGGAGGTGGACGTGGACGTGGACGTGGACGTGGACGTGGACATGGACGTGGACATGGACGTGGACGTGGACGTGGACATGGACGTGGACGTGGACGTGGACGTGGACGTGGAGGACGTGGACGTGGACGTGGACGTGGACGTGGACGTGGAGAACTTGGACTTGGACATGGACGTGAACGTGGACGTGGACGTGGACGTGGAGGACTTGGACGTGGACATGGACGTGGACGTGGACGTGGACGTGGACGTGGACGTGGAGGACGTGGACGTGGACGTGGACGTGACGTGGACGTGGACGTGGACGTGGACATGGACGTGGACGTGGACGTGGACGTGGACGTGGACGTGGACGTGGAGGACGTGGACGTGGACGTGGACGTGGACGTGGACGTGGAGGACGTGGACGTGGAAAACTTGGACGTGGACATGGACGTGAACGTGGACGTGGACGTGGACGTGGAGGACTTGGACGTGGACATGGACGTGGACGTGGACGTGGACATTGACGTGGACGTGGACGTGGACGTGGACGTGGACGTGGACGTGGACATGGACGTGGACGTGGACGTGGACGTGGACGTGGACGTGGACATGGACGTGGACGTGGACATGGTCGTGGACGTGGACGTGGACGTGGACGTGGACGTGGACATGAACGTGGACGTGAACAAGACGTGGACGTGAACATGGACGTGGACATGGACGTGGACGTGGACATGGACGTGGACGTGGACGTGGACCGTGGACGTGGAGAACTTGGATGTGGACATGGACATGAACGTGGATCTGGACGTGGACATGGACGTGGACGTGGACGTGGACGTGGACGTGGACGTGGACGTGGAGGTGGACGTGGACTTGGAGGTGGACGTGGAGTGGACGTGGACGTGGACGTGGACGTGGACGTGGACATGGACGTGGACGTGGACGTGGACGTGGACGTGGACGTGGACGTGGACATGGACGTGGACATGGACGTGGACGTGGACGTGGACGTGGACATGGACGTGGACGTAGACGTAGACGTGGACGTGGACGTGGACATGGACATGGACGTGGACGTGGACGTGGAGGACGTGGACGTGGACGTGGAGGACGTGGACGTGGACGTGGACGTGGAGAACTTGGACGTGGACATGGAGGACTTGGACGTGGACATGGACGTGGACATGGACGTGGACATGGACGTGGACGTGGACGTGGACGTGGACGTGGACGTGGACATGGACGTGGACGTGGACGTGGACGTGGACGTGGACGTGGACGTGGACATGGACCTGGACATGGACGTGGACGTGGACGTGGACGTGGACATGGACGTGGACGTGGACATGGTCGTGGACGTGGACGTGGACGTGGACGTGGACATGGACGTGGACGTGAACAAGACGTGGACGTGAACATGGACGTGGACATGGACGTGGACGTGGACATGGACGTGGACGTGGACGTGGACGTGGACGTGGACGTGGAGAACTTGGACGTGGACATGGACGTGAACGTGGACCTGGACGTGGACATGGACGTGGACGTGGACGTGGACGTGGAGGTGGACGTGGACGTGGACGTGGACGTGGAGGTGGACGTGGAGTGGACGTGGAGGTGGACGTGGACGTGGACGTGGACGTGGACGTGGACATGGACGTGGACATGGACGTGGACGTGGACGTGGACATGGACGTGGACGTGGACGTGGACGTGGACGTGGAGGACGTGGACGTGGACGTGGACGTGGACGTGGACGTGGAGAACTTGGACTTGGACATGGACGTGAACGTGGACGTGGACGTGGACGTGGAGGACTTGGACGTGGACATGGACGTGGACGTGGACGTGGACGTGGACGTGGACGTGGAGGACGTGGACGTGGACGTGGACGTGACGTGGACGTGGACGTGGACGTGGACATGGACGTGGACGTGGACGTGGACGTGGACGTGGACGTGGACGTGGACGTGGAGGACGTGGACGTGGACGTGGACGTGGACGTGGACGTGGAGGACGTGGACGTGGAAAACTTGGACGTGGACATGGACGTGAACGTGGACGTGGACGTGGACGTGGAGGACTTGGACGTGGACATGGACGTGGACGTGGACGTGGACATTGACGTGGACGTGGACGTGGACGTGGACGTGGACGTGGACGTGGACATGGACGTGGACGTGGACGTGGACGTGGACGTGGACGTGGACATGGACGTGGACGTGGACATGGTCGTGGACGTGGACGTGGACGTGGACGTGGACGTGGACATGAACGTGGACATGAACAAGACGTGGACGTGAACATGGACGTGGACATGGACGTGGACGTGGACATGGACGTGGACGTGGACGTGGACGTGGACGTGGAGAACTTGGATGTGGACATGGACATGAACGTGGATCTGGACGTGGACATGGACGTGGACGTGGACGTGGACGTGGACGTGGACGTGGACGTGGAGGTGGACGTGGACTTGGAGGTGGACGTGGAGTGGACGTGGACGTGGACGTGGACGTGGACGTGGACATGGACGTGGACGTGGACGTGGACGTGGACGTGGACGTGGACGTGGACATGGACGTGGACATGGACGTGGACGTGGACGTGGACGTGGACATGGACGTGGACGTAGACGTAGACGTGGACGTGGACGTGGACATGGACATGGACGTGGACGTGGACGTGGAGGACGTGGACGTGGACGTGGACGTGGACGTGGACGTGGACGTGGAGAACTTGGACGGGGACATGGACGTGAACGTGGACGTGGACGTGGACGTGGAGGACTTGGACGTGGACATGGACGTGGACGTGGAGTGGACGTGGACGTGGACGTGGACGTTGACGTGGACGTGGACGTGGACATGGACGTGGACGTGGACGTGACGTGGACGTGGACGTGGACGTGGACATGGACGTGGACGTGGACGTGGACGTGGACATGGAGGTGGACGTGGACGTGGACGTGGACATGGACGTGGACGTGGACGTGGACGTGGACGTGGACATGGACGTGGACGTGGACGTGGACGTGGACGTGGACGTGGAGTGGACGTGGAGTGGACGTGGACGTGGACGTGGAAGTGGACGTGGACGTGGAGGACGTGGACGTGGACGTGGACGTGGACGTGGAGAACTTGGACGTGGACATGGACGTGAACGTGGACGTGGACGTGGACGTGGACATGGACGTGGACGTGGACGTGGACATGGACGTGGACGTGGACGTGGACGTGGACGTGGACATGGACGTGGACGAGGACTTGGACGTGGACATGGACGTGGACGTGGACGTGGACATGGACGTGGACGTGGACGTGGACGTGGACGTGGACATGGACGTGGACGTGGACGTGGACGTGGACGTGGACATGGACGTGGACATGGACGTGGACGTGGACGTGGACATGGACGTGGACGTGGACATGGTCGTGGACGTGGACATGGACGTGGACGTGGACGTGGACATGGACGTGGACGTGAACAAGACGTGGACGTGAACATGGACGTGGACATGGACGTGGACGTGGACATGGACGTGGACGTGGACGTGGACGTGGACGTGGACGTGGAGAACTTGGACGTGGACATGGACGTGAACGTGGACCTGGACGTGGACATGGACGTGGACGTGGACGTGGACGTGGACGTGGACGTGGACGTGGACGTGGAGGTGGACGTGGACGTGGAGGTGGACGTGGAGTGGACGTGGACGTGGACGTGGACGTGGATGTGGACGTGGACGTGGACGTGGACATGGACGTGGACATGGACGTGGACATGGACGTGGACGTGGACGTGGACATGGACGTGGACGTAGACGTAGACGTGGACGTGGACGTAGACATGGACGTGGACGTGGACGTGGACGTGGAGGACGTGGACGTGGACGTGGACGTGGACGTGGACGTGGAGAACTTGGACGTGGACATGGACGTGAACGTGGACGTGGACGTGGAGGACTTGGACGTGGACATGGACGTGGACGTGGAGTGGATGTGGACGTGGACGTGGACGTTGACGTGGACGTGGACGTGGACGTAGACGTGATGTGGACGTGGACGTGGACGTGGACATGGACGTGGACGTGGATGTGGACATGGACGTGGACGTGGACGTGGACGTGGACATGGACGTGGACATGGACGTGGACGTGGACGTGGACATGGACGTGGACATGGACGTGGACGTGGACGTGGACGTGGAGTGGACGTGGAGTGGACGTGGACGTGGACATGGACGTGGACGTGGACGTGGACGTGGACGTGGACGTGGAGAACTTGGACGTGGACATGGACATGGACATGGACGTGGACGAGGACTTGGACGTGGACATGGACGTGGACGTGGACGTGGACATGGACGTGGACGTGGACGTGGACATGGACGTGGACGTGGACGTGGACGTGGACGTGGACATGGACCTGGACGTGGACGTGGACGTGGACATGGACGTGGACGTGGACATGGTCGTGGACGTGGACATGGACGTGGACGTGGACGTGGACATGGACGTGGACGTGAACAAGACGTGGACGTGAACATGGACGTGGACATGGACGTGGACGTGGATATGGACGTGGACGTGGACGTGGACGTGGACGTGGACGTGGACGTGGAGAACTTGGACGTGGACATGGACGTGAACGTGGACCTGGACGTGGACATGGACGTGGACGTGGACGTGGACGTGGACGTGGACGTGGAGGTGGACGTGGACGTGGAGGTGACGTGAGTGGACGTGGACGTGGACGTGGACGTGGACGTGGACGTGGACGTGGAAGGACGTGGACGTGGACGTGGACGTGGACGTGGACATGGACGTGGACGTGGACGTGGACAGGAAGTGGACGTGGACGTGGACTGGACGTGGACGTGGACGTGGACATGGACGTGGACGTGGACGTGGACGTGGACGTGGACGTGGAGGACGTGGACGTGGACGTGGACGTGGACGTGGAGAAACGTGGACGTGGACGTGGAGGACTTGGACGTGGACATGGACGTGGACGTGGAGTGGACGTGGACGTGGACGTGGACGTTGACGTGGACGTGGACGTGGACGTGACGTGGACGTGGACGTGGACATGGACGTGGACGTGGACGTGGACGTGGACGTGGACATGGACGTGGACGTGGACGTGGACGTGGACATGGACGTGGACGTGGACGTGGGACCTGGACGTGGACATGGACGTGGACGTGGACGTGGACGTGGACGTGGACGTGGAGTGGACGTGGATGGACGTGGACGTGGACATGGACGTGGACGTGGACGTGGACGTGGACGTGGACGTGGACGTGGAGAACTTGGACGTGGACATGGACGTGAACGTGGACGTGGACGTGGACGTGGAGGACTTGGACGTGGACATGGACGTGGACGTGGAGTGGACGTGGACGTGGACGTGGACGTGGACGTGGACGTGACGTGGACATGGACGTGGACGTGGACGTGACGTGGACGTGGACGTGGACGTGGACATGGAGGTGGACGTGGACGTGGACGTGGACATGGAGTGGAACGTGGACGTGGACGTGGACATGGACGTGGACGTGGACGTGGACGTGGACGTGGAGCATGGACGTGACATGGACGTGGACGTGACGGACGTGGACGTGGAATGGACGTGGACGTGGACGTGGACGTGGACGTGGACGTGGACGTGGACGTGGAGGACGTGGACGTGGACGTGGACGTGGACGTGGAGAACTTGGACGTGGACATGGACGTGAACGTGGACGTGGACGTGGAGGACTTGGACGTGGACATGGACGTGGACGTGGACATGGACGTGGACGTGGACGTGGACGTGGACGTGGACGTGGACGTGGACGTGGACGTGGACGTGGACGTGGACATGGACGTGGACATGGACGTGGACGTGGACGTGGACGTGGACATGGACGTGGACGTGGACATGGTCGTGGACGTGGACGTGGACGTGGACGTGGACATGGACGTGGACGTGAACAAGACGTGGACGTGAACATGGACGTGGACATGACGTGGACGTGGACATGGACGTGGACGTGGACGTGGACGTGGACGTGAGAACTTGGACGTGGACATGGACGTGAACGTGGACCTGGACGTGGACATGGACGTGGACGTGGACGTGGACGTGGACGTGGACGTGGAGGTGGACGTGGACGTGGAGGTGGACGTGGACGTGGACGTGGACCTGGACGTGGACGTGGACGTGGACATGGACGTGGACGTGGACGTGGACGTGGACGTGGACGTGGACGTGGACATGGACGTGGACGTGGACGTGGACATGGACGTGGACGTAGACGTAGACGTGGACGTGGACGTGGACATGGACGTGGACTGGACGTGGACGTGGACGTGGAGGACGTGGACGTGGACGTGGACGTGGACGTGGACGTGGACGTGAAGACTTGGACGTGGACATGGACGTGAACGTGGACGTGGACGTGGACGTGAGGACTTGGACGTGGACATGGACGTGTGGACGTGGAGTGGACGTGGACGTGGACGTGGACGTGGACGTTGACGTGGACGTGGACGTGGACATGGACGTGGACGTGACGTGGACGTGGACGTGGACGTGGACGTGGACGTGGACGTGGACGTGGACGTGGACGTGGACGTGGACATGGAGGTGGACGTGGACGTGGACGTGGACATGGACATGGACATGGACGTGGACGTGGACGTGGACATGGACGTGGACATGGACGTGGACGTGGACGTGGACGTGGACGTGGAGTGGACGTGGAGTGGACGTGGACGTGGACGTGGACGTGGACGTGGACGTGGACGTGGACGGTGGACGTGGACGTGGACGTGGACGTGGACGTGGAGGACGTGGACGTGGACGTGGACGTTGGACGTGGACGTGGAGAACTTGGACGTGGACATGGACGTGAACGTGGACGTGGACGTGGACGTGGAGGACTTGGACGTGGACGTGGACGTGGACGTGGACGTGACGTGGACGTGGACGTGGACGTGGACGTGGACATGGACGTGGACGTGGACGTGGACGTGGACGTGGACATGGACCTGGACATGGACGTGGACGTGGACGTGGACGTGGACGTGGATGTGGACATGGTCGTGGACGTGGACGTGGACGTGGACGTGGACATGGACGTGACGTGAACAAGGTGAACAAGACGTGGACGTGAACATGGACGTGGACATGGACGTGGACGTGGACATGGACGTAGACGTGACGTGGACGTGGACATGGAGTGGACGTGGACGTGGACGTGGACATGGACGTGGACGTGGACGTGGACGTGGACGTGGACGTGGACGTGGACATGGACGTGGACGTGGACGTGGACGTGGACGTGGACGTGGACGTGGACGTGGACGTGGACGTGGAGGTGGACGTGGAGTGGACGTGGACGTGGACGTGGACGTGGACGTGGACGTGGAGGACGTGGACGTGGACGTGGAGGACGTGGAGAACTTGGACGTGGACATGGACGTGAACGTGGACGTGGACGTGGACGTGGAGGACTTGGACGTGGACATGGAAGTGGACGTGGACGTGGACATGGACGTGGACGTGGACGTGGACGTGGACGTGGACATGGACGTGGACGTGGACGTGGACGTGGACGTGGACATGGACGTGGACGTGGACATGGTCGTGGACGTGGACGTGGACGTGGACATGGACGTGGACGTGAACAAGACGTGGACGTGAACATGGACGTGGACATGGACGTGGACGTGGACATGGACGTGGACGTGGACGTGGACGTGGACGTGGAGGACGTTGACGTGGACATGGACGTGGACGTGGACGTGGACGTGGACATGGACGTGGACGTGGACGTGGACGTGGACGTGGACGTGGAGGTGGACGTGGACGTGGAGGTGGACGTGGAGTGGACGTGGACCTGGACGTGGACGTGGACGTGGACATGGACGTGGACTGGACGTGGCGTGGACGTGGACATGGACGTGGACATGGACGTGGACGTGGACGTGGACATGGCGTGGACGTGGACGTGGACGTGGGACGTGGACGTGGACATGGACGTGGACTGGACGTGGACGTGGACGTGGAGACGTAACGTGGACGTGGACGTGGACGTGGACGTGGACGTGGACGTGGAGAACTTGGACGTGGACATGGACGTGAACGTGGACGTGGACGTGGACGTGGAGGACTTGGACGTGGACATGGACGTGGACGTGGTTGGACGTGGACGTGGACGTGGACGTGGACGTGGACTGGACGTGGACGTGGACATGGACGTGGACGTGGACGTGACGTGGACGTGGACGTGGACGTGGACGTGACGTGGACGTGGACGTGGACGTGGACGTGGACATGGAGGTGGACGTGGACGTGGACGTGGACGTGGACATGGACATGGACGTGGACGTGGACATGGACGTGGACGTGGACATGGACGTGGACGTGGACGTGGACGTGGACGTGGAGTGGACGTGGAGTGGACGTGGACGTGGACGTGGACGTGGACGTGGACGTGGACGTGGACGTGGACGTGGACG